CAGAGGTGGAGAGTTTTCCTCCGACCTTCTGCGGGCCTTCTGTCGTGCGGAGGGCATCCGCCAGACGTTCACGCTTCCGGCCTCTCCACAGCAAAATGGGATTGCTGAGTGCCGCATTGGCATGGTCATGGGCGTCGCTCGTACGTCCATGATCCATGCGGCTGCTCCCTATTTTCTGTGGCCGTTCGCGGTTCAGTACGCGGCGCATCAGATCAACCTCCAGCCCCAGGTCTCCTTGCCGGAGACCACACCTACTCTGCGGTGGACGGGGAAGGTTGGCGATGCGTCTGCGTTCCGTGTCTGGGGATCTCGAGCTTTCGTCCGCGACTTGTCTGCGGACAAGCTGTCCTCCCGTGCTGTTCCCTGCGTCTTCCTTGGCTTCCCCCCTGACGCGCCTGGTTGGCAGTTTTACCACCCCACCTCGCGCCGTGTTCTGTCCTCTCAGGACGTCACGTTTGACGAGTCGGTTCCTTACTACCGTCTCTTCCCCTACCGCACTGCCCCCCTCCCCCCCCCGCCGCTCTTCCTCGCGCCAGGTCCTCCCCCTTTAGACCCCCTCCCCCCTAACGGTCCTGCCCCCTCAGGTGTGTCCCAGGTAGACGCAGTCGAGCCTGTCGAGGTAGCTGTTGACTCTGGTGCTGCTAGGGGTGCTGAGCCTGAGCGTGCGGATCCTGGGGGTGCAAAGTTTGGGGGTGCTGAATCTGGGGGTGCTGAGCCTGGGGTTGCTGAGTCTGGGGGTGCGGAGCCTGAGGGTGCTGAGCTTGCGCGTGTGGAGTCTGGAGGTGCTGCGCCAGGAGGTCCTTCGGGTGCTTCGTCCCGGCGGGAGCCACTCTCTCCACAGCAGTTGCGCGAGTGATTTGCTCGCCGCTGGAGCCGAGCTGCTGGAGGTGCTGGAGCTGGCGGTACTACTGGACCCGGTGCTACTGGAGGTGCTGGCCCTGGCGCTGCTGGTGCTGATGGGGCTTCTGGTGGTCCTGCTGGAGCTGGAGCTCGTGGAGGTGCTGGAGCTGGAGGTGCTGCTGGAGCCGGTGCTCCTGGGGCTGCTGGAGTTGGCGCTACCAGAGCTGCTGGAGGTGCTGGTGGAGCTGGTGGTGCTACTGGAGTTGGAGCTGATGCTGGGGGTGCTGGTGCTGTTCCTGCTGGTTCTAGAGGCGCTGCGCGGCCGCGGCCGTACTTTGTTCCGCTCCTTGAGCAGGTTCTTGGTCTCCCGCCTTCTACTGGTCCTTCTCCTTCCTTAGAGTGGCCACAGACTGTCCAGTCCGAGTCACAGTTACAGCCGGCCTCCCCACTGCCTGCTCCTTCTCCTTACACTGGTCCGACAGGAGGTCTTACGGAGCGTCGTGAGCCTGAGTCTCGTCTTGCGTTGCCTGTTCGTGCTGCTCGCACTGGTTGTCGTGGTTCGCGTCAGCGTCCTCCTCCTGTCCCTGGCACACACCAAATGGCTCTGCGTCCTTCCACTGCTCCGCAGCGTGTCCCTTTGCCGTCTCCTCCTGAGTCCTCTCTTCCTGTACTTGCTGACCCGAAGTCTACCTCCCTTTGTGTTGCTAGTCCTACTGTCACGCGTCTCCTGGCCACTGTTGTCACCGACCCTTCCTTTGAGTCCACTGCTGCGTCTGCCTTAGTTGCTGAGCTTGTCGACTTTGCTGCTCATTGTCGTGTAGACTACGCCGCTAGTCTTGTTGCTGAGTCTGCGTCTGTCTGTCCTCCGTCCGTCGGGGGTGAGTGTGCTCTTAGCACGGACGTCCTTGAGGACAGGCAGGAGGAGTTCCAGTGTTTTGCTGCTGCTGTACCTCATCTCGTGTCCATGCTGCTTGCCCTTGAGGGAGACCCGGATGCACCAGACATCCCGACCCCGCGCTCTTACGCAGAGGCGATAGAGGGTCCCTACTCCTCTCAGTGGCAGACAGCCATGGATGCAGAGATGGCTTCCTGGAAGTCCACAGGCACCTACGTCGACGAGGTTCCCCCACCTGGGGCGAACATTGTCGATGGCATGTGGATTTTCAGGGTGAAGCGGCCGCCGGGTTCTCCGCCTGTCTTCAAGGCGCGTTACGTGGCTCGAGGCTTCAGTCAGCGGCAGGGAGTTGACTACTTTTAGACCTTCTCTCCCACCCCGAAGACGACCACTCTTCGGGTACTGCTGCATGTCGCTGCTCAGCGTGACTACGAGCTGCACTCTCTTGACTTCAGCACAACCTTCATACAGGGCAGCCTGCACGAGGAGATCTGGCTGCGTCGCCTACCTGGCTTCACTGGGTCGTTTCCCGCAGGTACCCAGTGGAGCCTCCGGCGGCCAGTCTACGGTCTCCGCCAGGCACCCCGTGAGTGGCACGACACATTGGGGACTATTCTTGCGGCTCTTGGGTTTGCTCCTTCCACTGCTGACCCGTCGCTATTTCTCCGCACCGACACTACTCTGCCGCCGCTCTACATCCTCGTGTACGTCGACGACTTGGTCTTTGCTACTGCTGACACTGCTGGACTGGCCCACGTGAAGTCAGAGCTGCGGAAGAGACACACGTGCACAGACCTGGGTGAGCTGCGCATCTATCTTGGCTTGCAGATCACCCGGGACAGAGCACGCCGCACCATTATCTTGACTCAGTCACACATGGTGCAGCAGGTCCTTCAGCGCTTCAAATTCACGTACTCCTCGCCTCAGGCCACTCCTCTGTCTACTCGCCACTCGCTCTCAGCTCTGCCTTCGGATGAGTCCGTAGAGCCGAGTGGCCTGTACCCAGAGCTTGTCGGCTGCCTCATGCACCTGATGACCTGCACTCGACCTGACCTAGCATACCCTCTTAGCATCTTGGCACGCTATGTTGCTCCTGGGAGACACCGACCAGAGCACATGGATGCAGCTAAGAGGGTGTTGCGCTACCTGTGCAGTACGTCGGGCATGGGGCTCGTGCTTGGAGGACGGGCTCGAGTTGTCCTCACTGGTCACGCAGACGCGTCTTGGGTTGACGACTTGGCTACGCAACGGTCGTCACAGGGTTACACCTTCAGCCTTGGTTCCAGCTCTGTTTCGTGGCGGTCTACCCGCTCGTCTTCTGTTCTCAGCTCCAGTTGTGAGGCTGAGATCTACGCTGGGGCCATGGCTGCACAGGAGTTACGTTGGCTCACCTACCTGCTGACCGACTTGGGAGAGGCGCCTCGTTCTCCTCCAGTTCTGTACGTCGACAACAAGGCCATGCTGGCCTTGTGTCAGGAGCACAGAATGAAGCACATTGCTTCCTTACTCGAGAGTTGCAGCAGCGTGGTCAGCTTCGTCTTGCTTACGTGGCCACTCGGGCTAACACTGCTGATATCTTTACCAAGGCACTTCAGCCTTGTGATCATCAGCGCTTTTGTACTATGCTAGGTCTTGTGCCTACTTGGCCTCACTTGCTCACTTCTTGACTTTGCTTGTACTGTGATGTATATATACCTGCACCTGCCTGCTTACCCTTGCTAGGTTGAGATCATTGTATTGCTTGTTCACCTTGACATTTAACTCTGCATGTGAACTGGCCTTGTTGCCTTGTGCTTGTGCTCAGAATGCGTGGTGACGTCGTGATCCACCTTGAGCTTGCCTTGTTTTGCTTGACTGGTCTTGTGACCTCTTGTTCTCCCCCACTTTGTCTATGGGGGTGTGTCAAACATATATGATATAGCCTGTGTAGGCTGTAGTGGGGTAGACACTATGGGGTACAGCTTTTCTAGGTTTTCATATTTGTACCCATCTCCTTTCTAGTCAACCCTCATTCCTCGTACATTTCTCACATGATATAGCTCTAAGTCGAATCATGTTCACATGGTGTTCAATTCAGGGTCGTCGCTAGCAGAATTTTTCTGTCTGTTTGTCCGATATTCAGACATATTTTTACCACTTCATATGATTTTCCAGAAATGAATTTTTGAAATTTCTGATTGATAAGAAATGCTTTTTTGAATTCATGTGATCAATCAGGAACCTGTTATGGTTTCGTCTGATACCGAGTTCCAATGTAGAAGGGTGTTTCATGTGTGAATGGAGTTCGGCCAATTATCTGGATTGTTACCCAACCCTGTCACTGTGTACAGAGTAGGCTAGTTAGTTGCGTTGGGCTTCACAATGGTGAGCATCCGAATTCGAGTCCCGAAGTCGCGCGTTCTTCTATGCAATTCCTTCATAAGGTACAGAACACTGTGAAATGAGGAGGGCTCTAAGAAAATCAATCAGAAATTGAATTTTAAAAAATTCTGATTCAGCATAAATGCTTTGAAGGAAATTCTGATGCATCAGACAGAAAAAACCACGCCATCTGATGCACCAGGCAGGCTCAAAACCTAGGGATGACCCTGGTTCAATTGCTACAATCGAAGCAAAAACATAAACTTATGGCCTTCACAAAAATCACACACGCCCTTAAAGCTACGAAAAAAGAACAAACAATCCGTGCTCAGCAGGACTCGAACCTGCGCGGGCAGAGCCCAACAGATTTCTAGTCTGTCCCGTTAACCACTCCGGCATGAGCACACGGTACACTGAAGATAAGATTTATTATAGACAAAGTATTAGCTCAGTTTGCAATCATTTCATTTGTACATCGTGTTCCATATTTTTGGGACACTGGTTTCGCGAAGATACTTATGCTGCATTTGATCCATTACTTCCATTGTCGTCTAATATTTAGCAATTTCGGCCAAGATGCATGTAACATATGCATGTTGTTGTGAATACCATACAATTCATTCAAGATTGGGTCGTTTACATACAATACATCGCATTGCAGCCGATACCGTACATCAAATTGCTCCTGCTAATGCTCATAAAACTAGGAGATGGCGAGTCTTAAAGCACCTCCTCACTCATAAGTCATTTAGTTACCCATAAAGATAACACACCATGCCACCCGCTAGCTCTAAGAGGGGATGCAGAGGGCCATGCCATGGCACACGTTTGAGCCACAACACCGGGACCAAGAGGGGACGCAGAGGGGCATGCTACGGCACATGGTGACGCTGCAGCATTGGGACTAAGAGGCGATGCAGAGGGGCATGCCGGCGAAGAGGCTCTGGGAGCGGCACATCCAGCCGCGGTTGAGCTCGCCCACGAGCGGCGGCTGGCGCTGGAACTGCACCACCACCAGCGACGCACAGCTGTCCCCCGCCCCCATCGTGTACCACCGGTTCGCCACCATCTTCGACCGCGCCTTCAACACGCCACCGCTCCCAGCGGCGTGCCAGCTATGCAGATCTGGGAGGGGGGACGGGGAGGGCGGGGGACGAGTGCAAGAAGCCAGCATTTGTTGAGTAAAATCCCGGGTTCGAGGAATAATGTATGAAACCCTCTTTGCGCCAGCCCCACTAGCGTCGCCCCTTCAAGTGCCAGCCTTAAGAGGTACCTCTTCTAGTCGCACTGCAAGTGCCAGTTCCCCCCATCCCCACCCCACCACTTCCCCATTTGTGCCACCCCTCTTAGGTACCTCTGAGGCGGTGAGTGAGGTGAGGGTGCCGCAGTTGATGCCAGGACACCCCTTGCGCCGTCCCTAGCACCACAACCCTCTATTCGCTTCCCCATGGCCACCCCCCCTAGCGCCACAACCCGCTACTCGCTTCCCCATGGCCACCCCCCCTAGCGCCACAACCCTCTATTCGCTTCCCCACCCCCCCTAGCGCCACAACCCTCTATTTGCTTCCCCATGGCTACCCCCCCTAGCGCCACAACCCTCTGTTCGCTTCCCCATGGCCACCCCCCCTAGCGCCACCCTACCTCGGAGGCGGTGAGTGAGGAGAGCGTGTCGAAGTTGATGCCCGGGTTGAGGCGGTAGAGGTCGAGCCACGACATGCCAAACCTGCTGAATCCATTCTTTCAACACCCCCAGAGCCACACCCCCAGATCCACACTCTCCCATCCTGATGATACCTCAGAGCCGGTGAGCCCGGAGAGCGTGTCGCAGTTGATGCCGGGGTTGAGACGGTAGAGGTCGAGCCAGGAGAGGCCGTACCAACTGAATCACACCCCTCACAGCGCTACCCCTCCTATCTACTGCCAACTCTCATGAGTACCTCGGAGGCGGTGAGCGAGGAGAGCGTGTCGCAGTTGAGCCCAGGGTTGAGGCGGTAGAGGTCGAGCCAGGAGAGGCCGCACCAACTGAATCACACCCCTCACAGCGCTACCCATCCTATTTACCGCCTGCCAGAATCCCAACCACTAGACCACTGGGATCAAAGGGTTTGTTTGTGTAGCGGGTTTGTGCGCCCATAACCCCCCAGGCGAACGCGCCTGTAACCCCCCGTAGGATCAATCGGGCATCAACAGTGCAGATCTACTGACACCGCCAACTCTCATGAGTACCTCGGAGGCGGTGAGCGAGGAGAGCGTGTCGCAGTTGAGCCTGTCAGACATTATAATTATAATGTTCTGTTATATAACTGCCTGTAGGATTTACTGTAGTGTAGTTCCTATTGTTTGGTGGTGCACCTTTGTTGATTTTGCTATATGTACCTTGTGTGCTATAGTGAAACTCAATCATTCTCGACATACCTCGTTGCACAAACTCCTCGACACCCGCTTGGCCTAGGCTACTAAGCCTAGGCCCTTAAACCCGCTTGCTAAGCTAAGTTAGTACGTTGACATGTTATCAGAGCAGGTCCGAGCTAGGACCTAATTTTTATGGGCCCACTGTTAGCCTGTTCAATGACGCCCTCAGTCGATCTGCACGTCGCGTCGCTTCTGCCCGGCACTAAATCCGCCGTGACGATCGCGACCGTCACGGCGGCGATCTGCGCAATGGCGGGACCCGTTCGCCTCGCCGCAGTCCCCATCGCGGCTCCCCGTCGCGCTGCTGTTGCGACCCTTCGTCCTGCTCGTTGCGACACTCGGCGAGCCCACGTTTTGTCCATATTTCACTCCCCCCCGCCCGTCCGTACGCTCCCAGTCGCTCGTCGTCAGCTGCAAACCGCCCGTCGCTAGCTCACCGCCGCTCGTCGCCACATCCCCGCCGCCCGTCGCCACCTCCTCGTCGCCCGTTGTCAGCGCACCGCCGTCCGTCGTCAGCTCCACACCGCCCGTTGCGCACCAGCAGATTTCCCCGCCCGCCCTCCCGTCGGCCCCTATGCTGCTGCAGCGGCTGCACATTCCGCGACTGCAACTGTTGTGCCGCCCCGGGCAGCCTCCCTGCGCTTCCCCGTCGCCTTCCCTTCTGCGACTCCGGCTGTGGGGGGGGGAAGTGGTGTGGAAGGGGTGGCCACCGTGAGCCACTCCAGCACCACCCTCTACCCTGCCTCTACCCTCCCACGGCTGCTGCTGTTGTGGGGCGGTGGTGGGACGGGGGAGTGGGGGGGCTGGCCGCCGTGTAAGGGACTGTGCAAGAACCACCGTGCGTGGGGAGGGGTCTGGAGGAAGAAAGGGGGGGGGGCAGGGTGAGGTTCCAAGGGGCGGCTGAACGGGGGGGTGAGGTTAAGTGGGGTGGTTGAAAGGGGGTGGGGACTTGGGGGTTAGTAAGAGGGTTTTCGCCACAACTGGCTCCCCCCCACCTCCTCTCCTCATCCCTCTCTCACCTCTCCCTTTGTAAAAGAGGGTTAGTAAGAGGGGTTTCGCCACGACTGGCTTCCCCCCACCTCCTCTTCTCATCCCTCTCTCTCTCACCTCCTCCTTGGTACTTCTCTCTTCTCCTCTCCTCTCTCCCTCTCGCCTCCTCCTCCTCACTTAACTCACTGACGTCTTCCACTGCACCAGCTATACCCATTCAGAGGGTGTTGACTACACTAGCTATTGTTGCAAGCAATTTGGGGGGTGTGTTGAAATGTAATTTCTATGTAAACTGCTTGCTCTGTAGTTTACTGTAGTTATCCCTTGTTTCTGTTGGTGGTGTACCTCATTGCATGTTTGTCTTGCCTATGTTTACCTTCCGATCTATAGTGAAACCCCTCTTTTTTGGACCTACCCTCGCTCTCATGCTCACGTTACTCCCGTGCCTCACATGGTATTGAACTTGTAAGATCCTGACCTAAGTTAATGGGCCCACCCATTCGCGGCGCGGCGCTCGTTGTGACGGGCGCGGCGGCAAGCTGGCCGCGTTTCCCTCGTCGCCAGCCCGTCGTTTTCCCTCGTCGCTTCTGCCCGTCGCCAAATCCGCCGTGACGCTCGCGACCGTGACGGTGGCGAGTTGTGCAATGGCGAGACCCGTTCTCCCCGTCGCAGTCCCCGTCGCAGTCCCCGTCGAAGTCCCCGTCGCAGTCCCCGTCGAAGTCCCCGTCGCGGCTCACCATCGCGCTGCTGGTGCTGGAGGTGCTTCTGGAGCTGGAGGTGCTGCTGGTGCTGCAGCGGCTGGAGGTGCTTCTGAAGCTGCTAGAGGTGCTGCTGGTGTTGGAGCTGCTGGAGGTGCTGGAGCCGCTGGTCCCGGAGGTGCTCGTACTGGAGGTACAGGAGCTGCTGGGGCTGGTGGTGCTGCAGGAGTTGGAGTTGTAGGTGCTGGAGCTGTTCCTACCGGAGGTGCTGCTGGAGCTGGAGCTGTTGGAGGTCCTGGAGCTTTTGGTGCTGTGGGAGTTGTAGCTGGAGACCCTGGAGCTGAGGGTACTGGTGTTGTCTCTGCTATTTTTGGAGGCGCTGCGCAATCCCGGCCGTACTACGTTCCGCTCCTTCAGCAGGTTCTTGGTCTCCCGCCTTCTAATGGTCCTACTCCTCCTTTACTGAGTCCACTCCTGTCCAGTCACCGTCGCAGTTCCAGCCAACCTCTCCACTGCCTGGTCCTTCTCCTTACTCTGGACCGACTAGAGGACTTACAGAGCGTCGTGAGCCTGAGTCTCGTCCTGCGTCGCCTGAGTCTCGTCCTGCGTCGCCGGTTCGCCCTGTTCGCACTGGTTGTCTTGTTCCACGTCAGCGTCCTCCTCCTGTCCCTGGCACTCACTCTATGACTCTGAGTCCTTCCACTGCTCCACAGCGTGTCCCTCTGCCGTCTCCTCCTGCGTCCTCTCTTCCTGCACTTGCTGACCCGGAGTCTGACTCCCTTCGTACTGCTAGTCCTACTGTCACGCGTCTCCTGGCCACTGTTGTCATTGACCCTTCCATTGAGTCCACTGCTGCGTCTGCCTTAGTTGCTGAGCTTGTTGACTTTGCTGATCACTGTCTTCTAGACTACGCCGCTAGTCTTGTTGCTGAGTCAGAGTCTGCATCTGTCTATCCTCCGTCCGTTGGGGGTGAGTGTGCTCTTGGCACGGATGTCCTTGAGGACAGACAGGAGGAGATTGAGTGCTTTGCTGCTGCTGTACCTCATCTCGTGTCCATGCTGCTTGCCCCTGAGGGAGACCCGGATGCACCAGACATCCCGACCCCGCGCTCTTACGTAGAGGCGATAGAGGGTCCTTACTCCTCTCAGTGGCAGGCAGCCATGGATGCCGAGATGGTATCCTGGAAGTCCACAGGCACCTACGTCGACGAGGTTCCCCCGCCTGGGGCGAACATCGTCAGTGGCATGTGGATCTTCAGGGTGAAGCGGCCGCCGGGTTCTCCGCATGTCTTCAAGGCGCGTTACGTTGCACGAGGCTTCAGTCAGCGACAGGGAGTTGACTTCTTCCAGACCTCTCCCCTACCCCGAAGATGACCACTCTTCGGGTGCTACTGCACGTCGCCGCTCAGCGTGACTACGAGTTACACTCACTTGACTTCAGCACAGCCTTCCTACAGGGCAGCCTGCACGAGGAGATATGGCTGCGCCGCCCACCTGGCTTCACTGGGTCGTTTCCTGCTGGTACCCAGTGGAGCCTCCGGCGGCCAGTCTACGGTCTCCGCCAGGCACCCCGTGAGTGGCACGTCACACTGAGGACGACTCTTGCTGCTCTTGGTTTTGCTCCTTCCACTGCTGACCCGTCGCTGTTTCTACGCACTGACACCACTCTGCCGCCGTTCTACGTTCTCGTGTACGTAGACGACTTGGTCTTTGCTACTGCTGATGGGCAGCTGCAGGAAGACGTTGCGGAAAATACGAGCAGGATCGGGCGTTCAACAACCCCGCTTCGACTGATAGAGGCCGACACGAGGAGGCACGACTGTTTCCACTTTCTCCACTTCAAGTGGTGGGTGATAATCTTCATGGCAACGATGGCAGAGAAGGGTGTCCCTGTGGTCGATAGGCTGGCTCCCTCTCTGCACGACGAGGTTGGGTTTCATCTGAACAATAACTTGGGAAATGATGGGTGGGCGAGCAGCTCTGACGAGTGACAGATTCATCAGCACGGGCCGCTAGTCACGAACTGGAGGATCGGCCAATAGATCGAGTTCCTCTTCTGCGAAACAGACGAGCAGGCAAAGATATTGCGTGATAAAATACGGCCAGACGTTCATATATACACAGGGAAGGAGGCAAAGGGGAGCACGGCTTCCATGATCAAGACAAAGATGAACGCGCCGGGATGCCTCGCCAGATGCGAGGCGAGGCTCTACGGCTTCTCCATCACAATGATCAAGGACTGGATCAAGGAGGCTCGGGATTTTCTCAAAGTGAAGTTGAAGGAGCTGAACGACGAGCAAGTCGCGTGAGTTTTTTCGAGGTGTGCTTTCTGCTTCTGCTTTTGTACATGTTTCTCTACATTGCCATGTAGAGATGGCCGTGATCAAACACGCGGATCAATCTCCGACTGCTATACGGCAAGCCAGTATAGGATGCTACATCACACTGTTCTACGGGTAGAACTCCAACAAATCTGGTGGCGGTTGCCTCCGGCACATCTCTCGCTTCCTCTCTAGAAGGCTCTGCAAGTGCCGGTTATGATTCAGCTCGGACACCAATTTCTAGGAAGGGGGTGCAGCATTCGAAAGATTCGCCTTGCGAACCTCTTTGTCCGCATGACGCGGGGCACCTCACACCTCGACGAATATCTGGACGTCTTGGTACTCGTCGTCGTTTCCAGGAAATTGAAGACCATCATCGGCAACAAGCTGCTTCACCAGTTTCTTGCAAGGCATAGGGTCTGGCGGCTCTGCGGAATGGGCCATGTTTTCCTGTGGCTTCATTTCATCTATGACCTCGTCCCTCTGCGCTACGGCCCCAGTATCGTTGAGCCTCTTGACTTTTCTGAACCGCTCAAGTGGACTAAAGCGCACCTCTTCTTTTCCTTGAAGAAGAAGAGGGACAAGGGAAAGCAGAAGCAAGATGAGATGCACTACAAAACGCACTGCACCTGGATTCACTGGGCCATGCAAAAGGCGAGATGGATTCCGAGCAAGGTGACACATGCATTCCGCAGATCTGGAGCCCAACAACTCCATGACGTCGGTTGCTCCGACAACGACATTGGCAGTCTGGGTGGATGGCAGCAGGGGGAGATGCGGAGGTCTTATGTGATGGGCATTCCGTTCAAGCCGGTTGTTCTGCAGGCAGGATTCAGCGGGGATCGTGGAGACTACTACATCGGCAGAGCCCGCGCGAAGCTTCTGCGTCATGAGGATAAAGATAAGGATGAGTGGTGGCAGCTGCTGGGGCTCATGAGGAAACACATCTTCCCCAGGGCCGAGGAGGATTTGAAGAAGGTACGTGCCAGTATAGAGTCTGCGCGTTCGTGTATGAACATTTCCCCTGCATACTCGTCTCCTCAGGTCCATGCATGGAACGCCGCGCAGACCGACGCGCTGAAGAGGGACTATGCGGGGGTGAGGTTCCTCGAGACCCTCGGGGCCATCGGACGCCTCGTTGTTGCACAGGATCTAGCTATTATGTGGGTGTTCTGCCATCAGCACGGCGTGAGAACCCCGCGGTGCAATTGCGAGCGGCATCCAAATGTGCAGATGAGCCCCTTGTGCAACCACCCATTGTTCCAAAAGTGGGCGTACTTGGTCGCTAGCATGCACTTCGAGGGCGAGAATCTTCGGAAGACCAGCCAAACCACTGCTAATGCAGTAAGTGTATGCTTTTCGTGGTAGAGAGAGTTATCCGTCTTAGCAGAGTTCTGACGTGTTTGTTTCTGCAGGATGCTATCTTTCGTAGGACCGCCGAGGAAAAGATGCAGAAGATGTACCTCACCGCCAATCTGCTCAGGGAGGATCTTGGGAAGTCGAAAGGACGTGAAATGCAGATGGCGATGGAGAACGCGAAACGCCCGGATCAAAGCAGAGTTCGAAGCTTTCAAGAGCTCGGTTGCAGCCAGCAAGGACGAAGGATTGTCGCAGACAGATGTCCAAGGCACCTCTGCAAAGGTCGAAGGATCGTCACAGACATATGCAAGCCAGACAACGAACACACCCAAAGGACCAGTTGCAGTGGAGGCTTTCTTCATCGTGGTCGTGGTGCCGTGGCGCGAATCCCCCACCGTGTCGGCGGCGTGGAAACTGTGGGTGCAGCCAAGCTACATCATGGGCGGCAAGTCTCTGTACCAAGTCTGCGCAGAGTTCTGCATCGATCCAAACAAGAACAACAGCTTCTTCACTGCATACGCCCAGTTCGCAGACAAAGGCAAGCCGCAGATGACTCTGGGTGCGTGCGAGAGGAAGATGCGTCGCATGCATCTTGTCATGCAAGCCGTGGAGACATTCAGGGTGGACAGCTCCGAGGCAGAGACTGGAACGACTGTTGCACTGCTTGACGACGTGTACCTCTTGTGCAACTTCACCGAATTCACCAACGGTTTGTCGGTGCTCCATGAGACTCCACCCAACAAGAAACAAAAAACTGGTACATTGACCGAGAAGAGGACCGTCAACGATCAGGCGCAGCGCAGAGTAAGCTGGCTGATAGTCAAAATGGGGTTGCGCGACGAACGACGCTCTTTGGGGATGAGTGGGGGGTGATCAAGAAGGAAGAGCTGGCGAAGGAGAAGGTGGAAGAGGAAAAAAAACGCGCAGCAGTGGCGAAGAAGGCGGAACTGGAAAAGGCAAAGGCGGCTGCGTCGAAACGATTGGTGGAGAAATGGGGTTGATGTTTCTCCACGGATGTTCTATCTTTCTACGGTTTGCTGTTTCTCCGGTCTGTAGTGGGCATATTGCTTTAGGCTAGCTGGGTTTAGGTATTATAGTACTTTTCTACATTTGTGGCATATTC